AAGAGAAGTTAAAAGAACATTAGAGAATAAGTCCTCTTAGGTATTCAGAGTCTTCTAGCCTATATCTCATTATGACTTAATAGTGTAAGGCCTACCACTAGTTGTTACCTCACTAGGACACCTTGTCGTGAGTTAAATGCAGTTTTACATGGTATACATTCCTTTAATAAAGATGACAATGTTGGTGATGTTGAAACCAAATGTTTTGGCACAATTCTTTATATCCATTTTAGCAACAGGATGCTAAAATCTGAGACGAATCCCACAATCTGCTCTTATGTAGCTACACAAAAAAATAAACTTAATAATTCTAGCATTTATGTTGTACATTTAATAGAAAGATCTTAAGCCATAATCACTGGAGCTGCTGGGCATCTTATCTGTTCAAAAAATTTTTCAGTGCATGCATTAATTTTGGTTAAATTATTCTGGATTTCAAAGGCAAAAGGATATTTAAAATAGTATGGTTTTAGAAGCATCACTGCAACAGACCAATTTCAGAAGATTCGGTTGCTAAATTTTACTTCATAGTCCCTTTGTAGATCAGTTATTTATATTTTAAAAGAGGAGAGGACCATGTGCTGTTATCTGCGTGGTCATTAGTCTCACACAAAGAAAAGAAGAGAACAATAAAATAAGACTAAGAAATCATTCTTCCAGTGATTGTCATTGAACTGTTACATTAGTAAACATTCACAGTATGAAGTCTCTCTCAATCTCCAGTATATAAAGTAGTGCAAAGGGAAAAAAAAATTCCAGTCCTGTTACCTGTGAACAAAACTTGTTACGTTTTCTCCAATTTCATTTCTTCCATAATAGGCATTTGCTGTCATATCTTCCCAAAACTAATAATAAAATATAATCAATTTCTAAGGGTCCCTGCAGCCTTTTTAAAAGTTAATTTCCAGTTAAAAATAAACTTTAATTAAATCCAAGATAAAATTGTGACCTATATTCTATTAAATAATTTACTTTCTTCTTTTTTCTACACAGTAATTCTTACAATTTTTAAAAAACAACTACAGAATCCAAAGACATATGAGATGCTATTAAAGCACTGATAAATGACTGTTCAAATTCATTAGTTCTTACATAGTAAATACTTCAAAATGCCAACTTTTCCCATCACTGCACAATTACTAACAATGTTGACAATTTACTTACACACACACATACACGTACACACACGCAGCCTCTTCGTGGACCCATCATTACTGTTAACATCATTTCCAGCAAATGTGCAAAATTCTTGCATTCTAATAAAAAATATAAAGATAGATTTGCTCCTATTTAAGCCTCCCTCTTCTCCAAGACATATCATTTATTTGATATGTAATGCAAGTTTAGTAACAATTATGCCATGTGTAACCATTAAATGGCAAACTACTGTATGCATTGGACTCATTTGCATATTTCATTTTCATCACTGCACTCTCTATGCATAAGTATATCTGGAGGTGCTGGGGTGGGGAGGCAGTGGCGGGTGGAAAGATCGATTCACACATCTGTCTCCACGGCCTTCGCGTTAGAACAGTTGTTTTTATCTGTCTCGCTGTCATCCCCCTTTTCCTGACACTTATCCTCCTTTGCACACAGAGATTCCTTAACTCCTTCTTCCATCTCTAGATACTCTGACTTGTCCCCCAGGGAAGAAGAAGTAGAGCTCCGAAATTTCTTGAGCAAATTAGAAGGGAGGTATGGGCAACTGACTGCATTCTGTGTCAGCTGTGTCTGTTCCTCGTTTTCAGTCTCTCTGTGGTAGAAATAGTTAAAGTTAGAGACAATCACTGGCACTGGCAAAGCAATGGTTAAGACACCCGCAATGGCACACAGGGACCCCACGATCTTGCCCCCCACGGTGATGGGCTTCATGTCCCCATAGCCCACAGTTGTCATGGTCACCACAGCCCACCAAAACGCATCTGGGATGCTTTGGAAGTGAGTGGTAGGTTCATCCGCCTCTGCGAAATACACAGCACTGGAAAAGAGGATGACCCCAATGAAGAGGAAGAAGATCAGAAGGCCCAGCTCCCGCATGCTGGCTCTGAGGGTGTGGCCTAGGATCTGCAGGCCTTTGGAGTGCCTGGAGAGTTTGAAGATTCGGAATACTCGGACCAGACGAATGATCCTGAGGATGGCAAAGGACATGGCCTGCTGCTGCTGACCGTTGCCACCCCCCTGCTGCTGGGCCAGGTCGGTGCCCAGTGTGATGAAGTAAGGCAAAATGGAGACAATGTCGATGATGTTCATGATGTTCTTGAAGAAGAGCGCTTGGCTGGGACAAGCAAAGCAGCGAACCACGAACTCAAAGGAAAACCACACAATACACACCGTCTCCACAATGAAGAAGGGGTCGTTGAATATCGTGTGCCCTGAGTTCTCCGGGTGAGGTGCCGAGGTGTCATTCAACAACCCACTGTGCGCGCTGGCACTGAGTGCCATGACCAGATCCCTGTCGTCCCTGAACTCGGGCAAGGTTTCCAGGCAAAAGATGACAATGGAGATTAGGATGACTAGGACGGACACAATGGCTATGCCCCTTGCAGGACTGGAGCTCTCTGGATATTCAAAGAGAAGCCAAATCTGCTTCTTGAATTCATTCTCTGGCAGGGCCCTGTCCTCCTCCTCTCTCACGAAGCCCTCATCCTCCCGAAACTTGAGCAGGGCCTCCTCTCCCAGCTGGTAGAACTTCACCTCCTCAGTGAAGATATCAAAGGGGACATTGACCGGCCTCTTCAGGCGGCCTCCTGATTGATAATAATATAAGATGGCATCAAAGCTGGGCCGGTTCCTGTCAAAAAAATACTCGTTGCGCAAAGGGTCAAAGTACTGAGTCCTCTTCTCAGGGTCCCCCAACAAAGTCTCTGGAAACTGGGCCAGAGTTTTCATCTGGGTCTCAAAGCGTAGGCCTGACACATTGATGACCACGCGCTCACAACAGTCACTGTAGCGGACTGAGCTGTAGCCACCACCTCCCCCATCATCCTGAGGCAGCAGGTCGGTGTAGGAACATTCATCACCAGGGTCGTCCTCACTGTAGTAAAACCGCCCCTCCTCTTCCTCGTCCTCCTCTTCCTCGTCCTCTTCTTCCTCCTCTTCACTCAGCTCCCTCAGGATCTTCTCCTCGGAGCCACTGGGCATCAGGTCAGAGCAATGAGGAAAGCTGCTCTGCCGGTGGTGAGCTTTCTTCTTCTCAGGCCGCGGTCGCCTCCTCTTGCGACTACCGCGGCTGCTCTGAGGGTCGTGGCAGGTGCAGGCCCCACGTGAATGATGGTGGTGGTG